TTAGTGAACTAAACCCATCCCTGTGCATCAACTTTCTGCCAGTGAATGCTACTGTTGTTACGTGCTGTCGAGTCACTTGTGACTCTTAGCAACCCTATGTACAATAGCTCTGAACACTGCACTATCTTAAGCCAACCTCATTGTCTCCGACATACCTACCCCTATTATGCCAGTCACTGCGTCAATCCATCTCAACCAGGGTCTTCCTCTGTTATGCTGTCCCTCCACCTTTCCAAAAATGATAACCCTCTCCAAGGACTGGCCCCTCCTTACAACATGTCCAAAGTATGTCAGACAGAAGTTCAAAATCCTTGCCTCCAAGGAGCAGCTTTGTTTCACCTTCTTCAGGACAAACCTGTTTTTTCTCCTAGCAGTCCATGGTATATTCATTTATTAATCTCATGATGCACATTTGGAAAAGATTATGACCCTGTGCAACTATGCACAAAGATTGTATGCCTTCCTCAACTTGTGTGCCCTTTAAATGTATATTCCATAATGGATTAGAACCATCAACCAAGGAACTAATTGTCTGGACTGGCCAAAGCATGTTGTTGTTAAAGTGAAATTAAGTTGGTTCCAACTCATGGTAACTCTTTGAACAAAGCACTGCCTAGCCCTGTGCTATTAAATAATCATTACTATGGATTGCAGGCACTGTATCTGCCCACTAGGATATTAGTTTGTTGTCCTTCAATGGCTTGCATGGTGCTCTGACACTGGAAAGTACACCACCATGACTTCAAATATCTCCAGAGTTGCCTATGGTGGACCTTCAGAAGAGCTTCCAAACTAAGACCAACAAGGAAAAAGAATTAATGATCTATTTCTGGAAAACTGGCCAGTGAAAACCTTATGAATAGTAATAGCCCAAAGTACAGCCTTCAATTATTTAAGTCCTCAGTCACTAGATGATGTTATTCGCCTGTATTTTATAGCAAAAAGATTCAGAAGTAAGGGAGTTTCCTTCTTGAGTGATAACACAACTAACTAGCTGGGCAATGAAATGGATGTGTTACTATTAAGATATCAGGAGGAAACAACGCAGATCCTTTAAGGCAAAGGGAGATAAAAGAGGGCTTAAAACCACCTACCCATCAAGCTGCCACCAGTTTATTCCAATCCCTTTGCTGTGCCTTCTAAATCCACAAGGACTCTGACATACAATTGCACTGCCAGTGACTGGGAGGACATGGAGAGAGACTCAAACTCTTTCCTTGGACTAGCCCAGCAATGATTCTCAGAAGCCTGCTCCTTAATCTGCTCTTTAATGCTGGGTTTAACAACTTCCTGGTAGGAAACAGATTTGGTTTTCTGAACTTAGCTCTGTGGTGGAAAGACTGACTCTTG